CTACCCTGCATGTTCAAATGTTGCTGGAGTCCCGGGACATGCCATAAATAACCCCCATACATGTTACTAAACCATAAAGCCAAAGTTGTAGCATCTTGTCTTAGGTATCCTGAAACACCTTGGAACACTGGAGTCAAAAGAAAAATGAGCCTGAGGTGGTGAGGTCTGAAGTACAGCGTGCCTGGAATGGAAAGTCACATCCGTGAGGCGGTGGAAGAAGCTGCTCCAAACCAAACCCTGTCTCACTATTAGCTGTCACTAGGCATCTCTGGCCAAGGCCAGAGCTCAGAGCTTTTAGATGATCAGTACTCCATAATGCTCGTGTCTCTCTGAGTCACTTTGTGACAAAACCAATAACAGATCCATTTGCCTCCCTATTCTTTTGCATGGGTCTTTTCCTGCTGGAACCAAAGTATTATCAGCAAAAGACATTGGTAAGACTTCACACTAACTTTAGGCTAAGTTTAATCAAAGCTCAGGCTTGAGGTTCAGAGGAGATGAAATTGGTCCTAAGTAGCCAGTAAAATTATGCATGATAAACAATGTGAAAAGATCACTAGGAAAAGTGATTTATCAGACCAGCTGATATAACTGGAAAAAAGGTACCAAAAAATCTTGAACACACAGTACTTCTTTAAGTTAATAACACTTTTAAAACTAGTAAGAAAACTGTTACTGCGTGAGCCTTGTATTGCAGTGAGGAATGCTGAGAACTGCTCATATTGAGAGTAAAAAAGAGTGCAGTTTAGATGAAGCTAGCAGAACTTGCAGACAGCTACATATGTTCTATTTAATAATAATAATAATAATAATAATAATAAAATCTCTAGTAAACCAGAAAAACTCCAAAGATAGCAAGGATGCACATGCAAAATTAACATGTATTCGTGTGCTAAATATGCTATTAGCCAAATAGCAAAAGTAGCACAGTATATAAGATAATTTCTTTCTGTATAACATACAGAAAGAATGCCATGGCTTGCAAATTGTGGACTGTAGCTGGCCAGCAGCTGGGTTAACACCTAACAGTAAGAAATACATGCTAACGTTGTGCTGCTTAACCTATTGTTTGAATAAAGGTTGAATTTGTGGCTTGAGAGATCAAAGGTCTGTGGTTTGTGGGAAAGAGAGATCTTGGAGGAAAGAAAGCAACAGGTGAATGTTCAACTGCAATTTTAAATTAGCAGTTTCCTTCTCATTCTGACACTTTCACAGTTTCCACAGAACTCTCTCACAGCCTTTGCAGCCTGATTACCAGATTAAAAGGGTAGATTTTGATGCCTTGAGTTGGAATCACTGTTATCTTGAACTTCAGGAGTACCTTCTTTAGCTGATTCCAGCTCAAATAAAGTTTACATTGCTGGTAGCTGAAGTTCAGCTTGCAAAATTTAACCTTTTATTTCTATGAGAGGAACGTATCCATTGAGGTAGCGAGAGTAAGGACTGTGCATTGAATATAAACCAAAATATATCTTCCAGTATATACAATGCAATGGGACAGAGCCAGGCTCTTCATGGTAGTGCCTGGCAGCAAGACGATAAACAGGCATAAACTGAAAAATGAAAGGTTCCCTTTCAATATAAAAGCTTTTTCACCATAAAGGCAGTGAAGGACTGGCGCAGGTTTCCCGGCGAATTTGTCCGGTCTCCATTTTTGGAGATTTTGAAGATAAGACTGGATAAAGCCCTTTGCAACCTGGTCTGACCTCATAGTTGACCTTGCTTTGAGCAGGAGGTTGGACTAGAGACCTCCTGAATTATCCTATGATCCTATGATATCCTTCCATTCATTACAACTCCCTGGTCTTGGGACCTGCTGTCAATCAAGGAAAAGAATAGAATTTATGGAGACTCTGTCTCTCCAGCTGTGACAAGAGTTGGCTGCTCTGCACCACCACAATACTCTCTGTAGTCCAGCAGCTGATTTCAAACTGATCACACAAGCAGAGATGAGCACTCGTTTAACCTCAAAGATCTTGACTACTAGTGATTAGTCTGCCTCAGCTAAGCCAACACTCAAATTAAGTCCTGTGGTGAGAGGATCCCCTCATTCAGAAACGATGCAACAGACTTGCAAATCAAAGCCCATAGTTTCAACTTCAGACAAATACGCAATATTTGCATGGCGTGTATCGTGATAGCTAGAATTTATAGGTGTAGATATAGGTGTAGATTCTGTCCCTCATACCCATGGGTATGTTTCCATTTCCTTTGATGTACACATCTAGTGCACAGGAGGATCATTGTATGAAGTTCTTTGGAAAATTTTGGCAGTATTAATTGGTGGTCATATGACAAGAAGTACTTTCTTCAGAAAAAACTGTTGCTTTTCATTTCATCTCCAGATTCTTTAATGTTATTGCTCAAATAACTGGTTAACAGCACTTGACAATGTTAAGAGTGAATTTTAACTCACTGCGGTAGTCAAGCAAAGACAACTTTTTTATGGTCCTTGACGTTCTATTTCACTGAAAGAGAACTGGCGCACAAACCTTGTACCACATCTTGTATAAGAAGAGATTTCACACTTGGGGCCTGAAACAGTAATAGCTATATTTCTGTACTACCAATAGATCTAATAAAGAATATAGATGCTTAAAAGGTAGCTGTTGCTGTACCTAGCTTTTAGTTGCCAGCCCTTCCTTAGCAGACTGGACTATAGCACAGACCTTGTTCATGTGGCAGGTTCAGTTTTTTGAGCTCTCAGAATCAACGGACTGGAAATATTTCTCAGTGCAGTTACAAAGTTCCCAAGAACTTATTAACAGAGAGAGATTGCAATACTGATTATTTATTTATTTTGCCAATGATGTCCCTCACTTGTGTGGTAGGAGGTAGATGACTTTATTCACTGGCATGTTATTTGGCTTGACTTTGTTCATAGAAGTCACATGTGACCCTTGCTTCTTTGCATCATCCCAGAAAAATAGTCACGTGAAAGGACATTCCTCTGTGCATATACAACTATTCTTTCATTTTTGTTGGTTCTTTAAGAATCCTACTGAGGCAAATAGGAAACAGCCAGTTGCATATGTACTCATGCAAATATTTTGTCGTGTAGTTTGGACAGCGGAATACGAAACATGTACCTTCAGCATTTAGCTACATATGCTTCTCTGTTTGTTGTTGAGTAATGACACTAGTCACATCTGCCTGGAACAGTCTTTACGGAACTTAAGGTTGGACTGGCTATACCTATTCTGTAGAAGACTGACAATAAAAAGGAATATAGGTGGAAGAATATTCTTTCTAGAATTTCCCTAAGAATCCTTGAAGGCTAAAGAGCATCTGGTCTTTTATTTGAAAGTTAAAAATTGACCAAGAACTCCTGGTTGAATATGAGCCACAATGTGTCTAAATGCTAGATGCTGCCATGCTTAACTTATAGCTTGCAGAACTAGATGTCTGTGCTCCCTTCCTCACAGAGAGGAAGGAGTCTGAGGTATATGCTTATTGGTGCAGTTTACCATGGAATACCTACCTTCCCACCATCTGTCTGTCTTCTCTCCCAGAAAGTCCCAGACATGGTACAAAGATGTCTCAGCAGTTCTTGAAGAAGCTATTGCAGTCACAAGCTGCAGCCCAGCATATTGAGAAAAACCAAAATGAGAAGAACCACAACCTGAATCGTAAGCTGTGGTGGTTTCCTGTAGTGGGGCCAAGAACATCCAAGAGGATGCTGGATAAGTAAGAATAAGAATCATAGTAGCTGTCTCAACAGATGCCAGCACCAACTGTTAGACTCCTCAGGACTGAGATTAAAAACCCTCACGCTGAAGAGGGAGATGCACAACACACTCACAAACTGCATGGAGCATAGGGTTTTTAACCTCATGTCTCTCTGTTATTTAGGTGACTGGGTCAGGGCTTGGGGCAAGAGTGGGACTGACTCTATCTGAAGATTTTCTTTTCTCAAGGAATTAAGCAAAGCTCTGTTTGCTCTTAAAATTCAACTGCTACAGGTTGTGGTTCGCAATGAACAAACGTGGGTCACAACCTGCATCCACATCTGGGAGAAGGGATTGAACAGTTTGAATCCCACCTAACCAAAATATCATGGTAAACCATTACACTGCAATCAGCCTTCTGAGTGCTTTCTCTCTCTGGACCAATCAGCCCTGACTTATTTCTACTCAGAGGCACAGAGTAAACAGGAGAGAGCTTCTGCCCCTATATCCTATCCACTACAGTGGTTAGGGGACAGCCCTGAACTGTGTGTTTAAAATAGTTTAAAATAGATTTTCTTTAAATGGATGTTGCCACATCTAGTACCACTAGAGCGGTACTACAGCCAGGAGTGTCACAAGCTCTGTATTTTGTTAGGTACTGGACCCTGCCGTTGTATATTATCTGCCAGCTATTGCCAGAAACGTCCCTAAGGAAACTTAAATGAAACAACGCTGTGATTAAGCAAGATATTAGAAAGTTATGTCTTTTGAGTTGAGAGAAAAGGTTGCTGAGGGAATTTACACATCAAATAGGGAGACAGCTCTAAAATGTTGGACTTTGGCGCTTCAATCCTGGATACGTCCTCTCCAACAATGGAAAAATACTCTTTTTGGATCCAGCTGGTCAATAAAAGCTGTTCATCACTTCTCCCTCTGCAGCGCGGATAGTCAATTTGCATTATCATTCCCTGGATTGCTGCAGACAACATCCTCTAGGTTAGCTTAACTGATGATCTAAACTAAAAAGCCTAATTTTGCCAGAGATGGATTACAGACCATCGGAATGAATTGCTCCAATGGTATAAAGAGCACCTCTGGCAGGAAGGAATGACAAAACAGGTGGAGACAGCAATGCCTCTCATCAGCACAACTAAATGTGGGAGAAGATATGTCTCCATGGTCTTACTCCAACTTTTTTAAACGCTTTCATAAAAAAGTAAAAATCAACTGGGGATGACGGTGGGTGTAAGAGCATTTCCTATTATCAGGTTAGCCAGATTATAGTATGAGAAAGACTAATAGTTTAGTAAAACAATGACTTTAATTATAATCACTTGCCTACAGGGATTTAATGAGAAGAGATGAGAAACATTTATGAACAAATGAGGTGCTACAGAAAAGTATCTACCATGATCCTGAAATCCATCAGACCATGGAGCCGTCTTCCAGAAGTGGTGGAAGCCTCAGCTGAAATGGCAGATCAAATTGCACAAAAATATTTGCTGTGCAAGAGCCAAGAAAACCTCCAGTGACAGTGTTGCGTGAAGTGTCCTGATTCTCTGAAAGTCTTCTCTGTCCAATGTCAGTTGTCTGGTGCACTGCTTTCAAGCAGTTGTAAGAGTAAGCTGCAGGCCAAAACCAGAAATACAGAGTATAGAAAGATGGTAATAATTTGGTGTCCTTTCAAAGTAAGAGCATAATGAATTTTGTTTGCTTCTAATTGTCTTCATATTAAAAATGTCTGCATATGGGCAAGGCATGATAGGAGTAGATGTTGGATGAGAGAATAAAAGCAGGTCTTCATCTTGAAAGATATGCTTTGTGAGATCACTTTACGGATGACAAGGTGTATTGCCATATCTTTAGTCTGGTGATTAAAAGCTTCTTGCCTAATTTTATTTGCAAACAGCTACAAGACCCGGCATGTGATGACAAGAACATCAGTGAGTGAATTCTGGGCTGACAGCCCAACACTTGTTAGGATTGTTACACATCCTTCACACTGCATTAGACAGTCTTCCCATCTTCATGCATGAAACTTCTGTTTTCCTGATCCACTATAAGAAGTGCTTATAAAAATTAATCAAGCTAGCTAAATTAAAAGCTCTGAAAACATACCCAATGGTAAGTAATTCTTAATATACTAAGCAGAGAGAAAACATCATTTTTTTAAATGTAGACTCTCACTTCAGAAGTTATGTAAAGCTTGAGCTCGTCTAAAGGAGGATACTACCTTGGTAACACATTTAAATACATTCCACTCAGGTATATTATTTGCAAAGAACACAACTGTCTGGGCTTCGTGTTCCTGCAATAATCCTCCTACTGTTTTAAATGCTCTGTTTTTGAGGCTTCCGCAAACTGTCATGTGCAGTCTTTTGCTGATGCTGATATTGTTGATGTTGCTGATATTTATGCTACTTCTTTCAGTGTCTCTGCTGCTGCCTGCACAGTGAAAGCTGCAACTGAAATCTGCCTCTTTACTTCTTCCCAGGCTTTATGTTGATCAGCTTTACTTTCAATATCAAACATTGCATCATAGATTCCTGGGAATGATTCTCCTGCATACTTATTATGGCTGCTTGGAGCAAAGATGACATGTCTGTAGGGAAGTTGAGAAAAAAAAAAACAATATTCTACATTAGGAAAATAAAGTATATTATTTTTTGAATAAATCTAATCTGTATCTATATCAGCTGTTAAATTCTTGACATTGAAGATGCAAATAAGAGTCTTGTACTGATAGTACCCATAATCTACGAAGTAAGAAAATAAAATATGAGCTACATTATTCCATATAAGCACACGCTTTGAGGTAAGAAAGCTGATGCTTTAACAAGATATTTTAATTAGAAGTTATGAGAAGTACAATGTAAATCTGCAGTTCTCTTCCTGGAAGCACTCTTTAGTGGAAAGACTGTTGTTTTGAATTATGCAGAGTGGGAGAAGGACCAAAAAACTAGACTCGACTTGACTATTCTGCCTTTCAAGAAAGATTTATTTCTTGCACGGGATGAGAGAGCTACTGAATTCACTTCAGTGCTACTGAAGTATTTCACTCTACACTCTGTTTGCTAGTATGGTTATTCTGCTATAATCAGTCAAATTTTAGATGTTTCAAGTATACCGTATTTTACTTTCAAGTCACGGTAACTTCCTCAAGATCCTTTACCCCTGCAATGATTTGAACTGAGTCCAACTCCAAACTTTTAATTCTGGTTAAAAACCCCACTGAAATCACTGGAAATGGGTTTACTGATCTTAATAGGCTTTTGACAAAACGCTTGCATTCTGTATGGTATATCTCACTAAAATTTTCCCTAACATTCTTTTCCCTTTTAAATCTTATTTCTCCTTTTTACCTACTTTTACCATGTTGAATATAATCATTACAATTCTGCTGAGAGAGCTGTAAATCATAAAGGGATTCTCATAAAGTCCTTAGGCAGAAAGTGAAAAATAAGCATTCCTTACCTGTAGAATGGCCTATCAGGTAGTCCAAGAGGATCAATGAAAGCTCTTTCTAGAAACATGAGCTGATCATTTAAAGATCTGACAGCAAGCAGGCTAAAAAGAAGAAAACAGAAGAATATTTTAGCTGTAAAGTGTTTGGTCCACTTTCATCCTGTGCCAGAACACTCACAGCTCTGGATTTATGAAGAATAGATCCAAGACGTGGAAATTCTAGTGCAGCGCACAGAAGACAGCCCATGTCAGCTAACCTGCACAACAGAACTACACTGATCTAGACTGTTAGACAGTCTAATTTATAACCTGAAAGCCTCCTAAAACTGTTCCAAAAGGACAAGGAATAGTGTCAAAGAAAATGTAGACTTACCAGATATTTTCTCTCATGCCACATCTTACTCCTGGATCTCCTTTTCATTAGTGTGCTTAAGCAGGCCATTCTTTTCTACGACAGGTTTTTAAAAGACCCTATTTTCCACAGAGCCAAATAACACCAAATCACCTCAAAATCAGCTCAGTAAAGTCACATTTATTTTTATGTAGAACAACATCATCTGAGAAACAGGAACCTTGTGATTTTAGAATCATCCTTTCAGTCATTCAAGAATTGCTTTTCTTGATAGCACAGATTATAAATCCCCTAGAGCACAGACCATCTGTGTCTGTGTGCTTTGAATAGCTCTGAGCATAGTACTGAGGCTCAACAAATAAAAGAACTGCTAAGAAGAATGTATTTAATGTACACGGGTTTGGTAGTCTATGCCCCAAGTAACTTATTGCAGAGTTTCAAAGACACTTACCAAGAAAGACTGAGGTAAAATTTATATCATTATAAGCCAGAGTGCTCTTCTTATCATTGACATTGTTTCAAATTCACACTAGTGTAAATGGAATCAGAATCTGATTGACTGAATTGATGCTTAGATTTAGCCCACCCATCAATGCAATCATTTTGAACTGAACTTTTTAATTTGCTGCTGTGCTACATAATTCAGCAG